GAATTATAAACTAGATTTTGAAGATTGATAATAGTTTTGAATTTAAAATTTAATTTTTCTACATTTGTTTTTAGGTTATTATTTTAGTTTAGTGTTTTATTTTAGATCATTCTAATAAAATATTTATAATCAAAAAATAGTTGATTCAGAAATATCAACTTCAGCAATGTATTTAGTATCATTATTCATATTTTCTTTTTCATTATTTTTAATTTTTTAGTCTTATTTAACTTAACTTCTTTTTGCAGAATAATTGTGGATAAGTTTAAAGCTTTTTCAATAATTGTATAATAAAGTTAAGATTATTATTCCTATCAAATAATCATTTATAGATTTCATTTGTATTAAAATTTGATCAAGTTCTTTTGGTTAGAAATTGCCATAAGTATCATATAATTGTTGAAAATTATGTTGTTGATACATATTTTCTGTCTGATATGTCATGTTCTTTGTATATAAATACCCATATTCAAAAAGTTATTATTATTATTTTAGTTATATATGTTGGTATTAATTTTTTGATTATTGAATTTGGATAAGTTTAGTTTATTTATCTTGTTATATTCAGGATTTGTATTTTTTTTGTTTTAATTAATTTTAGGTGGATTAATTAAATTTGATTTTGGTTTTAGAGAAGACATAGTATATTTTTAATATTAAGCTAATTAATACCTTTGATAAAGATTTTATATTTATCAATCAGAACTATTATATTGATAATTATGAGATTAGCCTTAAAACTAAACATATGTAATGGAGATTTTGGATTAGATCAGTCTATATAAAATATATTTTGTTAAGGATTAGATTATCTTCATTTTTTGTTACATTTAGATTTGTTTGATTGTGAAAATAAAAGATAGTGTAATATAAATTATGATAAATAAATAGTCTTTGATTTGATATTACCTATGTTATAACATTCACTATTTTGCCAATAGGAATAAGATTATTCATATCTGCCTAAACATTTTTTGAAAAATTGTAGTTTTGTTAAAAGAATTTGTCTCATTAATATTTTTATATAAATAAATATAAAATTATTCAATTTTTTAATGTATTTTAATTCAAGAAATTCAAATCAAATTAAATATAATTTTGGTAATTAAGTAAAATAATTTTGTCATTAATAAAAAACTAGTTTTATCATTTCAGTTTCATTAATTTTGTTATATTAAGAAAGGTAATTTTATTAGATATTACTAAATGAGATGTTTTCCATTAGTATCAATTGGTAAATTAGTTAATTTTAAAGAAAATTTGTATTTAGCTTTAATTTCCTTATTCAAAAGAAAGCATAAGTTAATGTAAATCATATTTTTAATACAAAATAATTATGATAATATTTAAGTTGATTTATATTAATTGAGGTATTAAAGGTAATTATGGTTTGTTATCATAAATTTTTGGTAATTATTATAAATTTAGTGATTTTTTTCAAAAGGAAAGAGAAGATCTAATATTTGCTTTAGTTATAAAGATCAGAATTTCTGTAATTTTAATCAATAATTCAAATATGTATTTTATGATTAGTTGCATTATTAGAGTTGAAATGTATTATTATTCAAAATAGAAATCTTTACAATAATTACACATTTATTATTTACATGAATAGTAAATCCAATTCAGATAATTTCGTTATACTATCATTAAAAATATTTTTAATAGAAACACTAATGAATATAAGGAACTGCAGTTTATTAAACAAAGCATAAGCTTAATTAATTTTTTTTTTATTGAATTTACTAGGAAAATTTTTTTCTATAGTATAGTAAGCAAAAAAAATCAAATCATCATTTTCTTTTTTAAAGGTTAAAGTGTTTTTTTTATCTGTATTATATTTTCTAAGACATTAAAAAGTCTAATCTTCATTTAATAAATCTGTAAAAGTTTTTGAAATAGTGTTTTTTAGATTTTTACCTTTATCATTCATGTTTATTCGACTGGAGTGATAGATTAATATTCATAAGAACTGGTATTTTTAGAGTTTGAAAGGTCGAAGATTCTGGTTGTTTTATTATTGTTGTTATTGTTGTTGTTATTATTGCTGTTATTTCTGTTTAATATTGTCTTATTTCTCCCTTTTAGCTGGAGGTGATAGTAGGATCCTGAACTATACTAATATAACTCACATTTGAATTTGCATAGAGTTTATATGTAAACTTTGCCAAAAGTTGCTTATTTTTACAAATTTACTTATTCTACATACACGATTATCTCAATAACAGTGATTCAATTTTAATGAAATATATACCATTAGATTCGTCTAATCGAGAGGAATCTAATGATAGTAATATTATCCTTTTAGCATCAATATTGACCGAGTTATACTATATAATATAATTTTAATTGCGTGTTTGCCTTACATTTATAAGTTCTATTAGTATAGTTCAGGATTCTGTAATAGTGGTTTTTTATTTACTGATAAGCCTGAATAGTAATATGAGACTTTTACAATAAAAAGGAAGGAAACTGCCAGAAAAATCAAAAATGAGTTAATGTAAAATTTGAACATATTTTAGCATAAAAATCATATTTGGCATATAAAAATAAAATTAATTTTTCCTGGTAGTTTTCCCCTTTTCTATTGCAAAGGCCTTATATTAGGAGATTTTATTTTTTTAAGCAGCATTTTTTTTTATATATATATTTCTTATTTTTCAGGAATTTTTAGAAGAGAGAGAAGTTTTTTTTTTTTTTTTTTTAGTAAAAGTATTGAAATAGCAAAATATTTCATAGTAACATTATTTTTAAAAATTTAATATTTATAAAAATAATTATTATAATAAATGTTATTAATTTGTAATATGCTACTTAATAGACATTTCTATGAAATCTAAATTCTGTATATTTTTTGATTTGAAATTTTGTAAAACTCAAATTTGATATTAGTTTATAAAAAATAATAAAAAAATTTTCTATTATAAAAGAACTTTTGAAAATCATTTCATTTATTTATAACAAAAAATAAAACTTTTATTATAAAGTTAACTTTATAAATCCTTTCAAATTTAAAATTTCAAATAAATAACAAATAAGCATAATAATAAACCTTTACAAAAGGTTAAAAGTAAAGATGTAATATAATTAAGTAAATGGATTATCTGACTAATTGTTGGTCTAGAGAAAGAATATCTAAGAATATTCAAAAAGAAGATTAATATTCTCTATAAAAAAATTGGAATCTACCTGAATATTGTTAATTAAGAAAAGTATTTGAATATTATAGCAAGAGAAATACCTTTTGATCAATGATGATTAATTTAATCTTGTATTCAACTTTCAATGAAATTTAATATTCATTCATTTCTTCAATTTTGAGTAGTAAATAATGTTATATAAAGCACTAATCATTTTATCAAGTGATTTTTATATGAAATTTTATGGTTTTTTTTTACTTTGTCAATAAGCAAGCTATGTAACTTTAAAGTATCATTAAATAAAGTATGTCCTTAAATAAATTTCAACTTTGTATTAATAAGTTAAAAATTTTACTTGTATATAAAAGAAAAGATATGATAAAGCTTATTATTTAAATTAAAAGTTTGAAAAGTTTTAATAAAAACTCTTGAAAGGTATATCTATTAAAAATAATTTTTGCTTAATATATATTTTTTATATTTTATTCTAATACATTGAATTGATATTACAGGTTACTTTTTTTTACTTGAATTTTAGAACTCTAATATTTTTTTTTTACTTGGATGGTATAGTAGAAAATATTTTAATTAGAATTTCTTTTAGATTTTTTTTAAATGTAAGAAATAATCAACTCTAATATTATTAAACAAACTTCTTACTTAACTTTAGAAGGTATTTCACTAATCATGAAAGTATACCATCAACAAAAAAAAGTAAAATCACATGTTATATAGCATTATAATATGAAAAAAAAAATTTCAAAGTTGGAAGATACCAAATTCTTCTACTAATGAAAAAATTGAATAAATATTAGTATTTTTTTAAAATAACATTAGAATGTATGAAATAGAAAGAAGATTGAAGACTAAAAAATCTTATTTTATTATAAAAAAATAATTTTTCTGAAAACCCATCTTTGTAACCTAAGAAATTATTTTTTCTCTTGTAAATTTACATATATTTTTATCATCAAACTATGTATTTGTCCATACTTTTAAAAGGATCTTAAAAAATACCTTAATTTCAAGACAAAACTCATGTATACTGTACTGTATGTTGGGGAAAATATTGATTGAACCTGATAATACATTTTGTATAAAGAAAAAAGTGAACAAACATAAAATGAAGTAGTGGTTTAATATGAAAATGATTTTCATCCATAATGAGCTGCGATTGATATTTCAACTTTCGACGTTTCATCTCGTTAAATTATTTCTTAATAAAATGTCAATGGCCACGAGCATAATTAGCGATAACATACAATACATAATGAAGATTTAGATCCGCAAGATTTGCTTACCACCCCCACAACCTTTATTTTGATCTATATATATATTTTTAGAATTTCTTATTTCATATATTTGTACTTTATTATCAATGTAATTTCTTTGTTGGTAAAATTTAACCTAACCTTAAACTAATCCCTTAAACTAATCCCCGGAGAAAACAAACAACCTCCTTCCCAAAACTTGAAGTTTTGGAAGAATAAAAAAGAGGTTCTTCAACGAATAATATTGAAAAACTATAATTTACTTTATTGAGTTTAGAGAAACCTATTGTAAATTTAACTAAAAATATTTAAATAAACTTGAAACTATTAAAAATTAATTTAAGCTTCTATAAAATTCTTCGCTTTTCACTTCTCCTTTTGCACTGAGCGATCTAAATCCTTATGAAAATTTCTCAACCAAAAACATTTCTAACAAAAATAATGTTCCGCCTCCGACATAAACAAGAGCACGATCACTTGATATCTCCCATAAAAGTGCACACCAAAATCTTTTTGGATCAATATAAGGGATCTAATTTTATCTTCAGCACCCAATTAATCTAGATTTACCCAGGATTATTTTCTGCTTCTATTTTGTCGAAACATCAACATCTGGTATGTTATAACGCATTCGGGTTCTCCCTGTCTCTATTCCGTTATGTCCTTGTTGAATGATTCTCAAGACATTGAACGATGATTTGCTGATTACCAGCTTTGATAGGTTATTTTGAGATGATAACCTATTTTTTTTTTTTAAAAAAAAAATAAATAAATAAATTTGGTTAGATATAAAATCTAAAATTTTCCGAAAATGAAGGAAGCGAAAGTTGTTTAGATTGTTACGAATACAAAAAGTACTTTCACTTCTAAATGGACAGAGAATTATACAAGCAAGTCAAAAGGAGAATGCCACCAAAAACAGGTACTCTTCTAGACTCATTATATTCCGTTTGGTATGAAACATTTAGTATAAAATTAAATGAAAACTTACTTTTTGACCATCAAAGCAGAACCTTTTTTAGTCATTTCCATCATCGTTTGAGCTTTTATTTTCTTAAACAGTTAGGAACTTTCAGCACGAAGAAAAAAAGAATTAAAAGAAATGAAAGTTGTTCAGAACATGAGGTCTTGAAGACGCGAAATTTATACGTAGGGAAAAGAGAAAATTTTGAACGAAAAAATAGTTATGTGAAGTTGGAATTTAAAAAAAAAAGAAACAAAACCCTACCCGATAATCAATTTTGATTGGCTAAAAAAATTATATACAAAATATTTTTATCCGTTAGAACAACTCTCGTGTAACTTAA